TGACTGCGTGAAATTTTATTCTGAATTATTCCGATAAAAGTTAGTTTGGCCCAAACTTCTGTTGATAAAAGACGCTCTTTTCAGATCACGGAATGCTCGGATAATAAAATAGTCGAATATTTGAACAGTATTCGGACACGATGAATTTTACAGTATATTTTCTTGACAGTCGAAAAATACGGTGCAAAGAGATCGTGGAAGATAACGGCAGCAAGACGCGATACTTTATTTCGTCCGCTCGTTTTTTCTTCTCTTTTGCGCGTTTAAGAATCATAGTTGCGTAAACCCGCAGACATTAATTGACGAACATCTTCGTTTCTTCGTCGAGTCCGACTTTAATGATCGGCATCGTAAAAATGTTTTCTATTTTCATTTTTTTATGGTACTATAAACACGTCGCCGACGAAAGTGCTCGCTCGCAATGCGCGTGTGCGCACGACCACGCTCGACGCGTTGCACTTTATTTATACTGGTTGCAGAAATGATCCACCAACGCAGCTCCGAATTAAATGGAAGTTTAGAAAACAATTTGCAGTATATATATAAAAGTAAGAATATTTTACTAAAGAACAGAAGTTTGTTAGAGATATTAAAAAATTTGTCTGAGGAGAGTAATTCTATAATGTACACGTATAAATTTAAAATATACATCATTTCTGTTTAAATAATGCATTCGTTTAAGATACAAGTACTGATTACTTGTATCACCATGATTTTATGAATAAAGTATCTACATATAAGTAATAAGATAACAGTCGTTAATTACTTTTACTAAATGTTAAATAAAAACCTTATACTTCACTAATAATCAAAACGAAATTTGAAACCTACGACATCTGTCTTTCTTGTCGTTTAAATTAGGAAACGTGTCAGCGTTTGTGTCGAAAGAGTTGGTTATTCGGAATTCCTAGCAGAACATTTAGTTATACTGCAGCTCCGCGGCAGTGAATCGCAACCTCTTGATTATGGTACCTGCGGGAAGCATGATAGTACGTCAGGGCACCGCAACGTCTCGTAACTTTACATAAAATTAGTACCTAAAAGCCCTTCGTCTTCATGGAGCTCATGAAATAACCGTGGTCAGAGAAGTATTATGATAGGCCGATTAAGTCACTTCATCAAAAGACACTATTTAGGATTAATATCTGACCGAAAGTTATGTTATCAGAATAAGAGTAAGTTTCTACGAGAGATATCAATTCATTTGATAATCGATAATTTACCAGTGTCGAGGGCACCATTAAATTACCCCAAACACGAAAATTGAAGGAAAAGTATAATCGAATCAAATACTATTTTTCTATTGTTAACTGTTATGTTCTGAAGAAAAGATGGGTATATACAAATGAATTGAGAATTTTTCTTTGTTTTTTGGTAAATTATTAAGTACAAAGTTATCTTAGTGAGCGCAGTTATGAAAGAAATCATAGGACAAGGGATTAATTGGAAAAGCTATGAAGAAATAGAAATGCATTTGCCAAAGAAATTGTTCGAATAAAGAGTGTTTCACTGACGTGTGTTAAACTTCATTCTAAAAGTGCACGGAAGTAAAACAAATAAATCATAAAAACATTAAGTACAAAACAACCATTAAGTACCTACAACACTGTCCGAATGAAATTTATGGCAGCAATTATAACACCATGTAAATAAATATTTCATTGCAGAAATTTACTATATCGAATCAAATTCATTTAACTTATATTAGTAAGAAGCACAATAATAAAACAATGAAAACCAAGATACTATACGCATGTTAAGAAAAATAATTAAAGAAAAACAGAAAAATTGTTAAGTGTAAAAAATGTTTTTTAACGAGAAATATAATTATATTTATTATATGACTATGCTAAACTTATTATTTTAAGAAGTGCATCACAACAACAATGCAACATAAATAAACAATAACAAATAAAAAGCTACAAACCTAACAATTTAAAATCACTTTCATCCGGTAGAGCAAGGTGTTGTAACATTGTGTAAAATAAGAAAATATGTAGATTTATTGTTCCCTTCGAATTTTGTAAGTGGAAATACACGTAGCAAGATGAAAAAAAAGGAGCTTGGTAAAATGACCGATGGAAAATAGTGAAAGCTACGTAGCCGGGGTAAAAGATTAGCCTGCTTATACCGGATCAGCTTAGTCCGCCACGTCTCCGTACATTTACAGGGTCCGTCCCGTACGCGGGTACGTTTTCAAACCGCATTTAAACAATATTAATTTTATTGCATGGTAATTCGCAGCCGTCGAACCTGATGTACCTACCTCAGACTTCCGGCTACATAGTCTGCAGGTCAACTCAAAAATTTTATGGCCGATTTTGCCCAAACTCTCTGCCCGGCAGAAAAAATGTTTTATACGGGCTCCTCCGACATGCTGTACTACGGCTGATGTTACTCGTTTAAGTATACTCTTTTAAAGGTATTAAGCTGAAAACGAAACAACTAAGTACACTTTATTCCACGGACAAAAGGGCAAACGACTCGCCGATAATCCCTTGCGTGAATACATTCCCTGTTCATCAACATTACTTGCCAGCACAACGCTAAACTGATTCCCGTCGAAAGCAAGCAAAGACAAATCTTACGGCATTAAAAAACCAATCTACCTTTCGAACCGTCGAAAATTAACAGTTAAAAATATTTTTATGTAGCCTCTCTACATTGTCGATGCAAAACAAAGAATGATATTGTCAATCGCTGTCGTAGCTGCAGGAAAATATAGTTGTAGCAAATATCATTTTAAAATACACATAAAACTTATAAGAAGACTTCAGCACTCACTGATCGCATCTTTTCTGAAGCAACCGCCATTCAAAGATGAACGAAATTGATTTTCTATGTAAAATTTGCTATCTGATTTCTACAAACATTATTTTTCGTTTCCCTTTTATAATGCTTGACTTAATAAAATTTATTACATGCCCGAAAAAAATTTGCGTAATAAGAAGTTATCACCCTGCAGGGTATCGGAGCTAACAAATCAGGGTAATCCTAAGGCAACATCCTCGCAAGCCGATTTGATCTAAAGTTCTTATGGTAAGGATATCCCCACTGATTTATATCGACGTTTTATGTCACGAGTCTGATTGTAAATATACGGGACGAGTCATAATATCAGGTCGATCATTTTTAACGTGCGGCAAATGGTTATTGGAGAACTCGCCATCTTGCTCCGCCTGTGAAGACACAGACCTTAGAACATCTTTTGATCTTTTTTGTGGGGGCACCAATGCAACAGCACGAGAATTTCCTTGATGGGCAGTCCTAAACTGAAGACAGTCCCCGAGGCAACCGGTTCGACCACTCTGGCAACAAAATCGAAACCCGTCTGCAGGACCTTAACCAAAGGATCATGACTGAGGATTAAAAAAAATTCAAAGATGGTAGCCGGATCTTCACCTGTGAATTTTAGATAACATCTTCTGTTACTTGTAATTAAACATTCTTTAATATGTGCAATACATTATTATAAAAACATATGCTCAAACATTAATAATAAATATAGCAGCTGAAATATGTTAAAATACATCTACAGTTTCTATTATTGTTAATACCAGTTAGAACATAATTTTGTAGTTCTAGGGATGCTATGTAGATATTATTTAATCATTGAGTATAAATCCGATAACGATATTGTGTAATTGACAAAATATCAAGCAATATTTTTCATAAACGCTGTAGAACCAAGTGAACTTCAAGACCAAAATAATGTACCCACATTAGTTTCATTTACTTCAAATACTTGTTTGTGAGATATTTGTATCTTTGTACTAAACCTATCATTTACATATCATATGTTCTGCGCAATACTCATTTATCAAATTTAAGTAAAAAATAATCTTACTTTAGGTCAGATAATGAATTTTCATTTATCAAAAACATACTTTATTTTGTATTTAAAAAGTTTTATACTATACACTATATTACAATGTTTATTCGGAAAATGTAATAATTGAGTAAACAATAAAGTTTCAATAGTTGTTCCTTTTCCATTTAGCTTTTTTAGTATAAAAATTTTAAGTATATTTGACCAAATTAAAATATATATCTTCTTACATTACGTCATTTTGAATTTAAGTTCTCGTAATGCCATCTCGAAAAGAAGTCGTTAATTATTTTTAAATTATACCATGTGATGGTAACAAAGACTCACGAGGTGCACTAAAATGAATTTTAAAATCTTTTTATGAAAATATAATTAAAATTAACGTATTAAAATAAAAAGAAATATTCGGGAAATTCAATTATGTTTATATTGTATTATTCATGAATTGTGAAATTAAATTTTTGAAAAAATGCAAATAGGATTATCTTTTATGAGAACAATACTTATGAGAAAGAGTTTTGAGGATGAGATGGTTAAGGTGTAAAATTTTGCGAAAAAGTATTTTATCCTTTTAGTGTCACTCCTTGTAATTTTTCAAATTATTATGTTCTAATGAGTCTGATATTCTACTAATAGCTTTGTTTTGCATAGTAAAAATGTTTACGGAAAGAATTTTTGACAATTCTAAAGTTAGAACATATAATTTTGCGAAAAAGCATTTTACCACTGTAGTATCCTTCCTACGGTACCAACATAAGGTAAAATGGAGTTACAACAATACTCAATATTTTTTCTTTATTAATTTAATGTATATACATATTCTGTATATACATATATATCTTCTAGCAATTACATAAAAGAATCTTTTCCAGTTCTTTTTGTTTCATATCGTTACAAATATTCACATGGAAATATTTAAACGAAAATTGAATATAAATATTTAAGTATCCCATAGATTTGAACTGAAATAAGTTTTGGCGATTATAAAGCAAAAACGTAAGTTGTGCGGCGTGGAGCAATGTGTCATCAAAAAGAAACTTTTATCGTATTATATGTACATGTATATTTGAATGCATTTAACTCGAGAAGATAACTTTTTACGTTTGTCAATAACTTGCCATTTTAAATCGTAGGCGGCATCTTAAAATATGTACTTCTTTTACACGATCGATAAAACAGACCATCGGAAACGAAATCCTGCAAACTGCAATGTTTATTCATGGTACATTTATCTGTGACTACATTCATGTTTTTTCAGAATTGAATATAAATCATAAATATTTCAACTAATAATGCACTATTCATGCACAATATCAATTTAAGAATATCTACCACAGTTTGATAATGTTGGAAAAATCTATATGGTTTTCCCATATTTCATATTTTCTGAGCAGCTATACAGTACAAAATGTTTACTGTAAAATTTGTCTATTTTTAATATTTTTATTTACGTTAGCTTGAGTAAAATAATAAAAAGTGAGAATGCACTGTATGAAATTAATGTTACATTACTGAAATATGATTACTTCTTATACAAATTATAGAAAAGATAAAAGACTTTGTGGGTATACGTAAGTGTAAATTTCTTAAAAACAATTATTGGATCTATAATGTTAAATAAACATATTAAAGAAATTGTTAACATAATTTTACTTAGCCAATATAACAAAATCTCCAAAACAAGTATTAGATTTATGAATACTTATTCAAAATTATCAAGATTATACATTCCTAACCTATTTATTGAAAATTTAAAGCCGATAGGCAATGATGGAATAAAGAAAGCATGCGTTTTCAAATACAGTGTACAATGTAACGAGAAAGCTTTCAACGAAACTAATGATTTTGAGTATAAAATAATGGCATTACGCAGTATGGTTAACAAAGGGGTAGTTAGCAACAAATTTTTTACAAGTGTCATTGAAGATTTAGAAAATAATAAGATTAATGTGTCACAAAGTTTGAGTATAACATTACTTAAATGTTGTGGAAACATTATGTACTATACTGACTTAAAAACACGACAAAATTTGAGTAAACGAGTTTTGAATCTTTTGAAATATAAGAATTTTACAATAGATCATTATCATACTTTATTACAAACACACATTGATAATGTTCATTTAATTGATCCATATAAGTTCCTGAAAGAAATGATTGTTGCACCAGAATATAAGACATATTGTCTTTTATTAAGATTGTTGTCAATCACAGACACTAACAAGTCAGTGATAGATTTCATATCACATATGAGAGAAAATAATTGTCTTTTTGGAGAAGAAGAGTACAATGCATTGGTTTATTCATATTCTGCACTGGGAGATTTAACAAAAGCTAAAGAAGTTATAAATTCCATGGAAGAAGCAAACATTACACCTTCCCTTGCAACTCATACACAATTATTGTATGGCTTTGCTAAAATTGGCGATATAGAAGGTTTAACAGAAATTTTGACGACTAAGACTATACCTCTATTAGATATTATGAAGCTTATTAAGTTTCTTAGTTTATGTAAAAATGGAGAACATATATCAGATATTTTAAGGCATACACAAGCAATAGAAAAACCTGAAAAGGATGTCATTGCAGTAATTGTGCAACTAGTACATGAAAAATGCTATTTCGATGCATATGAAATTGTTACAAAAATTCCTACAAAGGACAATGACAAAACCATCAAAAAAAAGCTCGCATCATATTTTCTTAAAGAAATGATAAGTTTGAATATAAATCAGGAAGATGTATTGAAATTTATAGTTATGTTTGCAATGAAACATGACATAGGTAGTGTTTGGAAAAACGCAATTCAATTTGCTACAAATTACAATAATGATTCACTAGCTTTTGCTGTATTTGAAAAAATGAAAGAAAATAATCGTATTATTATGCCGTATTACTATTGGTTCTTGTTTACAAAGGCAGCTCAGAAAGGTGAGGAGCATGAGATATATTCGATTATGAGACATATGCTATCATTAAATGTTACATTAGATAACAGAACATGGTTAGAGTATGTATTCCCATATATCAGTACTAGTAATCCTGTCCTTACAATTGAAAAAATGCTTCATAATGGATTAGCAACATCTTATACAGTACCACATCTGATAAAATTTTTATTAAATTCGTATAAGTTAAAAGAATGCCTGGACTTATGCAAAAGATTTAAGAAGAAGATAAACTGCCATGATATGTTGGACTCTTTAGTCTTGAATTACAAACAATCAAAAGATATCGATAGCTGTATAGAACTCTTACTTAGATTGTCATATAATGGTCAAGGTTTTGCTGGAACATTTTTAGTAAAACTTGTACAACAGCCTGACTTTGAGGAAAATGATGTAGAAAATGTTATTAAACTTTTGTACGCCATGAAAAAAAATAAAGCATTTATGTCTGTTAATGATATAAATCGTGTGGAAAAGAAGATTTTTCATTTAAATTTATCAGATTACAATAAATTCGATTTATCACAGTTATTCATAGATGTAACTGCAAATCCTGAAACAGATAATTTCAACAGCGGAAAAGAAATTCATCCTACATTTATGAATCTGGAACAATTGAAAACAAATTTTAGTATACTTAAAATGAAAGGATTAAATGCCAGGGGTACTATACGATTATTACTTATGGCATCATGCAAAGAAAATGATATAGAACAAGTGCACAGTCTTCTAAATGAAATAAAAATAAATAATATCCAGTGGACACCTGGAATGATGGTCCTTTTGTTCAATTTTTATATAAAAAATAAAATGTGTACAGAAGCCTTATCTGAGTTGAACAACATTCAAAGTACGTTCCCCAATTTTAAAATTGATAATTTTAAAATTATAGAATTTATTATATTATTAGTGAAAGAAAACAAAATAAATAAAGCTATGAATGTGATAAGGGAATTTGACAGTGTCAATCATCGAACAAATGCACATCTAAATTGCATAAAATTATTTAATACACTAGTAGAATGTAATTATTCTGATTATGTGAAACAAATGGCTGATCTTTTAGTACGAAAGGGTTATTGTAGAAATAGTCCTTTTATATGGAGCCATATATTTAATATTTCTATGACAGAAGATAAACCTATTGAATTAGTTGTAAGTGAATGCAGAGAATATGTTGAAACATTCAATTACGTTCCAGCAAAACAGGAAATATTAACAAAATTGATTAAACTAGATTCAAAATATGAAAATCGTAGTTCTTTAATAAAAGATGTCTACAGTATGATAGTGAAAGTTCATGGAAAAGAAACTGCAATTACAAATCTAATGATATCGCTGGCACAATGCGATAAAACAAAAGAATTACAAGATTTATTTGTGGTATGAACTATTATTTATATTCATTCTTTACAATTATCAGTGTATGAAATTTCTTATTTCAACCATCTTATCTTTTTAGAATAATCATATGTCTGCTAAAACTTTATTACAAGAATTTAAATATTTACCAGAAAATGATATTGTAAAAGTATGTTTGATTATGTTAAAAATAGGAGGAAACATATTGAAACAAAATTTAGAACCCATATGTTATTTAGTTCTAACTATTTACAGTAAGTATAGTTACTTTTTATTTACAGTTAGTTTTTATAAAATACAAAATTATAGGATTAAAAATTTGATCTGCAGTAAAACGAGATGAAACAGAAGCTGCTGTGAAGCTAAAAGAAAATATGTTGCAAAAAGGTGTAAGGCCCAGTAAACAATTTAAAACTGACTATACAGCTTTAATAAATAAGTATAAATTTCCGCTTTCCGAAGATTAGTTATTAGAATAGTATGAAATAAAATTGTAAAAAGTGAAATTCTAAATTAATAAACAATCTTTAAGTTATCTTTTAATATAGTATTATAATTAATCATTAAATTAAAAGTATCTTCTTTTATTGGACCATAATCAACCTGTTCTCTTTGCTTAAAAATGAAATCTTTTATTTTATTATGTTCTTCCATTAACCTTTCTACTGTGTTTTCTAATAAATTAATCTGATTGTATACTTCATTATTCTTCAATTGCTGTTTTATTTCGTCATATTCAGACTGAAGTGCTTTTTCTTCTTGTAGGTTTCTTAATTGTTGTTTCTTCAGTTGTTCGCACTCTTCTATTAACTGTGCTTGTTTTAGTGATAAGTTTGATTTTAAATTGTTTATATCATCTAAAACCATTAATTTGTTTTCTTTTTTATTTATTTTTTCATTGAGGCTAGAAAATTCTGCTGTAAGTTTTTGCTCTAACAACTCCATTTTACTTAAAATTTGCTGTAATTTTAAATTTTCTTTTGTTAGTCTTTCATAACTTTGATCATTATTGGTAGAGTCACTGTCATTATAAGAAATTATATTGCGCAATATTGCCATTTCATTGCCATCTATGATATCTATATCAATGTTCAACATACTTGAAATATTTTTCAAATGGTCAATCACTGTTTCTTCTAATTTATGTAATTTGTTTGTTTCATCTTGCTTATTTTGTTCAAAACTAGACATAAATTGTTCCATCACTTCTTCCTTTTTACGGAGCTCCTTATATTTGATTTGTTTTTCAGACTGAGAACCCTCTATATCAGCTTCTAATTGTTCAAGTTCATGTTCTGCCTCTTCGATTGCCTTCCTTCTTTCAGTTAATTGGGCTTCTGCAGCTGCAATATCCATATTATCTTGTTTAATTTTTTGTAATAACTTTTCTTTCTCTTCTTCTGGAGATATTCTGCGTTTTTCTTCTTCTCTTAATTTCGCTCTTTTTTCTTCAACTTCTATAATTTGAAGCTGTAACTTAACAGCTTCCTGTTTTAAGGGAGATAAAGCTATTTCCTCTTCTAAGAAAACTTGTTCTTTAGATAATTCATCTAATTCCTGTTGCATTTTATTTGTTTTTTCTTGCAAATTTGCTTTTTCCTTTAACAATTCTGTATATTTTTCTCTTGTATCTGAATTCATGCTTTCTACAAGTCTATCTCTTCTTTTCTTTTCATTTTCTAATTGTTTTTCTAATTTATTTAGTTGTTGTTCTAATTGCTTCCTATTTTCAAACATATTTTCAATCCTTGATAAACTTTGTTCATTCTTTGTTGCAAGTTCTTCTGTTTCTTGTTCTACAATTTCCTTTCCAATATCAGATGTCATTTTATCTACCACAATGTTGTAATCTGCCAATTGTCCTTGTAAAGTTATTAATTCGGTAGCTAAATCTTTGGCCCTCTTATCATAATGTAGATATGTGGCACTCTCCTTGTTTTGATCTTCAATCTCTTTCATTAAAATGGTAATTTCTTGATTCAGTTCTCTTATTTTCAATTGCAAAAGTCCACTATAATATCTTTTGTCCTGAATTTGTCTATAATCAAATTATTAAATAAAAAACTCTGGGCTAACGATATTATAATTTATTGTAACAAATATATTTGTATATGATATTATAATTTATTGTAACAAATATATTTGTATATGATATTATAATTTATTGTAACAAATATATTTTTATATGATATTATAATTTATTGTAACAAATATATTTTTATATGATATTATAACTTATTGTAACAAATATATTTTTATATGATATTATAATTTATTGTAACAAATATATTTTTATACATAATAATATCAACTAATATTATGCAAATTTACCTCATCATGGATAATCCTCTACCTGTTCCTGGTCTAACACCAGCTACTCCATGCTGAGTAATCGGTCTTTCCACAACATTTATATTTGTTTGTCCAAGCAGAGTACCTCCATTATTTAAGTATGCAGAATTGCTAGAACCTGTAGTTAGCCGTGAACTATTACCCTGAACGTGATTAAACAAAACAGAAGTTGATGGTGGTCTTGCCAAAACATTTTGACCAGGTGTAGATGGTCGTGTACTTCCAGGAGTGACATAAAATTCCCCCAACTCGTTTCTTGACACTCTTCGAGATTTGTCAAATTTACTTTGTAACGTAGATGTGCTTGTCGATGGTCTTTGCATTGTATACGATTCGTTTATGTTCCTCTTCTGATTTCTACCAGTTCGTTCATATATCATGCAAATAACTTATTCATTCAATTGCTTGCTTACAATTGTCAACGACGTTTCATGAAATTGTATTTGTCACAGTTGTTTTACAGTTCGTTACCATGTCAACATTACAACGTTTGAAACGTCAAACCTTATTCAATCAATTTTTACATTCTTCACCGAACAATAACAAACGTTTTATCCATGGAGCAAAATTATATTTAAAAAAATTTTCAACGGTAGATGGCAGCAAAATGTCGTTATTGTGAAAAAGCAGTTGCTAAGCAACAAAGTGACGCGACGTGGCGGGCAAGTGACGATGTACGACGGCAACGACGACGGCGACGGCGACGGCGGTAGCGACGCCGGTCCCCCCAAACTTGAATTAATATACGGGAGTCCAAGAATATCCTCTGTGTGCCTCGGGATAGCCAGAAAGCAACCGACGTTAGTACGGTGACTCTCGTTGAAACTAGGTTCGGTCATAGTATCGGGATTCACTTGGTCGGGATATTAAGCGGTCCGTCGCACCGTTCACTCGTTCGCTTTCTCGTTCGCACGGCTCGTTCTCTCGTTGGCATTTCTTCTCGCCTTCCTT